TCAGTTTTATCCAGATGCCAAATGCTTTCGTATCTCAGGCAATTAACTTTAGATCCCCTCTTGCTCTTGTGATAACGTTGTCGTGCAGGATAACCTTTCTAAGAGCTTGAAGTTGGGCGATCTTCTCGGTGATATGGATAGACATTTGTTGTTGGGCTATCAAGTATTGCAGTTTCCCATGATCGTGGCATCGTCGGCGACAGTTATAGAGACGAGATTGAAGACGAAGAAGAGAAGAAAGAGAAAATGAGAAATGGGTTTCATCCATCCTTTAATTTTGAAGAGTTGGGAGAGAGAAGGAACGAGAGAGGACACTGAAGGAGGGGAAAAAGTTTAGTGGGGTATTTTAGCAATTTAATGCATTCTGTTATCTGGCTTAATGGTTAAGGGGGGTCTTTGTCTCATGGTCATACATGGCGGATTCCACTTTTATAGTGGGTCCCAGACTTATGGTGAGATGTGCAGTTTTAGATAAAGTTGGTAGAGGGTTGGCAGAAAATCTCAACTCAATGGGGAACGAGTTCAAACTTCAAACAGTTGAATCTTTCAATGGGTGGGTGGACATGTACCACGTGTACTGATTTGTTTGGGGTCGAGCGAGTGAGGACGGATAACTACTCAATACCGACGTCAAAAATTGTTTCTAGACGGCGTAAATGGTTTAAACCCTGCTGAGTAGAGTGTTTAATCGCTGATTAGCCAAACAGAGCTCTCACCATGACTTCTTGCTGAATAATCAAGGCCCAATCAAATTTTTAGGGCAATGAATGATGAAAATAATAGGTAAGCTATCAAGATCACACCGTTTGATAGACCAACTGGTTTCCAATTTGAATCGATCTAACTCCATCTTGTGGTAGATAAACATTCTTTTGACTTTTGACTAAGCAAGGGGAACAAGGATCGTCATGGTGTGAACTCAAAACTAAGCCGGTCACTGAACAAATTGATAACGGAAGAACCCGTTGCCATTTGCTTTATGGAACTTCTTAGGGCATGTTTAGAATCAATACTGTTTCTTTAGAGGTGTTTTTTGAAAAAAAAAAACAGTGCTGCATTGGTATACCGCTTTTGCATAAATGTTTTTTATTTTTGAAACCGTTGATTCTGCATTGATTTTTCTCAATGCCACATCAACATAATGTTGCTAGCAATGGTAAAGAATGAGAAAACACAAAAAGTACATTTTCAGCTTAGACCTCATCCTTTCCAATTTCTAAAGCGTGGTTTGAAAAAATGTTTTTTAGAGAATATGTAACTGAACATCAGACATGATCTGAAAAAACAGATTTTAGATACGGCACTAAATGTAGTACCTTTTTTTTTTTTAGAGAAAAATGGCATCTAATCAAAAAAAGAAAAACATAGACAAAGTCCTCATGACACTTTGGCTGCCTTTGGTTGCAATGTAAACGCAAATATGTACATTATATATTTACCTATTTTTTGGTTCATGAATACAAATACTGTTCACATTTTAAATCATTTTTGCATTCATCTTGTTTATTTGAAATCAGTGCAAAGGTATGGGTTCATCATTAAATGCTCCAACTATCTTATGCTCTAATGCTTTAACTTTGGCCAAAAAATTAATTATCAAAATAATACAAAATTGTATCCAAAAAATAGGTACAGTAATACTCTCTTCTCAGAGTGTAAAAGTGTCAAAAAATACATTTTTACTCTGATAATCATTACTTTTTTACGTATCAAACAAACGCTCGCAAATGCTTTAGCGTTTGCATCGCAAACAAATGGAGCCTTTATAAAATTTATTAACAACTGTATTTTCTATTAAAAGGGAGAAAAACATAGACAGAGGTGCAAAAAAACGATGCATCTATTAAAAGGGAGTGTAGATTTGCCACCCGCCTAACACTATGGCCGCACATCTCAACATGACTGTCTTACATCCATCAACGTCAACATATACATACTAAACATATCTGAGATGTGTGCCTATAAATCATGTTGGACTTGATAGCATCGTGTTTGTGAGTCCGGATCTGTTCCTCACAGCATGTTCCGGCCATACATCGAGAATATTCCCCATACTTGTATTTATTATTTACGGAGAGATATTCCCAATATAGGTTGTGATGTGACTGTGAGGCACACTGTGTGAGGAGAAGATCCCAATTCCCTATTAATAACATATCCGTGCTCATTAAAGGGAGCTTGGTAAAGAATTTGGGGTCCCCTTAAGTATTTCGCTTTCTAATTAATTTGCACTCTGTCAGTGGAGCAAATTTAAACTGAAGGATATGGCAAAGTATTTAAATTAGAGTTTGTGTTGCTAGACCTTGTTTGTTTATGGTGGAAATCAGAACTATACATAAATTTTGCACATGAACAAATTTCACATCTCTTTATTCTACAATTTACACCTAAGCTAGCTAATGCAAAAAAATTGTATTTGTCTAATTTGCATTTATTTGGTAATGTAAATTTTGTATACAAATAAATTTACTCTCATATAAAGTGAGGACCAAATCATAAGCCTGGACCACATCATTTTACTTCTCTCAAATTTGAAAGACAAAATGATGAAGCAAAAGTAAACTAGAATTTACATGTAATCTTTACATTTTACTGCATTTACACTGATACAAAATTTTACTGCACTCACTGCATTTACACTGATACAAAATTTTCTTTGCACCGGAAACAAAGTGAGAATAGTGATTTACTTGATAAGTTGACACCGGACCGCTAGATTAATGGCTTCCCCTGTGGTACCGCTAGATTACTTATAAAAGCAGTAATACGATATTTTTTCAAAATAGGAATAGATCAGCGCCAAGATTCTCTCAGTTCATTAGGTTGGTGACTTAGCCCATTAATGGAGACATCAATAGTTTGGACTTTGAAGTTCATGGCCTCTCAAGTCAAGTCGAATATTTGGTTGTTTGAGCTTTGACTCACTAAAATTCTAAAAAACTTGAGGTCAATTTGAGTTAGAGACTTGATCTTGAATTCGCTTGTCTCAAAAGTTCATATGTTTGAATTCAGTTTGGCTTGAGCTCAAATGTGAGTCAAGTTTTCATTAAAAAAAATATATACATAAAAATTACTTTTTATTTTACATATAATAAAAAATATTTTATTATGTATGTATGTATATAAGCTCGATTAGGCTCACAAGCCGAGTTTCATTAGGACCGAACTCAACTCAAAGCTTAATTTAAAACAAGTTGAATTGAGCTTTTCATGAATCGAGTTCGAATAATTGGTGAAAAGCTCCATCCGTTTCCACTCCTAATGGCCTACCATGCAACCCACAATTAAATAGGATCTAGACTAGTCTTTTGACACAAACATGGCAAAATCTATTGTGCTTGTCCATTCTATTAATGCCAACATAAATATAAACAAATCAATAATAAAGTAACACATTACATTGACATTTTTAACATAGTTAAAAGCCTTTAATGATAAATATATTTTGTGAAGTATAAACCAATAAACCAATGAAAAGTAAATAGACCCTAAAACACATTTAACATAATTGGTTCAAATTTCAATGTAATATGCTGTAAAAATTTTGAAATGCCCTGTAGTTGGATTCCATAAATGCATACGGAGATTAACTAACTAGATATTTAGGCAAAGAATGATATCTATAAAAAAAATCCTAGATGGGATTGGATGTTTGAGAATTAGATATGTTAATTAATAAGAAATCCCGCAATTGTGGCATGTGGACCAATGTTTTAAAAATTTATACGGAAATGGAATTGCTTTCTCCTCAAGGTCATAGGTTAGTGGTTCAATTGTATTAGGTAGAACAGGTTGATCTGTGCCATCATACATGTGACAAAAATATTTAAAGTATAAATAGATTTATCTCTTTAAATAAACATTACTTAAAGATAAAAGAGAAAGTTCAAATGCTATTATACCTTGAACATGCATGGAATTGTTCATTTTAACTAGATGAAAAGATTTATAATAGATGGGATGACAACTTCGTATTCTCCTAAGAGTCCTATGCAAGTAGTTAAAAAATTATACTAGTACCAACAAAAGTTAAATAATAAGCAAAATTTGTTTACAAAAGATATCGGTCACCTCTTGGATGAATCAAAGCATCCTTGTAAATTTTGATGAACACCATCTGATTGGTCACTTCCTGATTGACTGTAAATTTTTCTGATATCATGTCTATGTCTTTTTAGTATCATAGTCGAATCCTATTTAATATCATATTCCATAAATCATATAATTCTATATTATAAAATTTGTTTGTTTAAAACCATTATTTTGTTGATTCCAAAAACATGTATTGCTTTTTAAAACAAAATCAACTTAATTTTTCATTTAAAAAAACGGAATGTGGCAATTTCAAGGGAGACAAAACCGAGGTAGGTGAAATTTGAACATCTGTTATTTATGTAGAGCTATTTTATTTATTACAAGGTTCCTGCCTGTTTTTGGGTAGAGCAGGGTTCTTTTCTTCCCGCTGATCAACTGGAAAGAAAATTAGGGTTTTATTATTTATTAGTGTAAGGTTATGATAAATCTTGCAGAGTTCATCTGTAGACGCAGGTACCCACGTCTTACTTGCTGTTAGAAGTTAAAATCTTGTCTTTTGTGTATACAAATGTGTTTGTTTTGTTGGTTGATTTTGGTTTTGGCTTTACTTCAGTACTTATTACTGAATGCTCGACATAGATCAGGTTCTTCTTCTTGGATTTTTCTTAATCAGTCTCTCGACTTTTTCTTCTTGACTTTTTCTGTAGGAATCTTTCGATTCTCGATTATAAAACAAGAAAATATCTCATTTGTTTTTTTCTTTCATATCCTTGTATTATTTAAAATTTGGATATTATTCGCATGCCAATCACACCTTTATTCTTCGCGATCAAAACTAAAATTAAAATCAATCAACAAGTATAAACGAAAAGTAAGATTTCAATTTGACTCCCGTTTTCTCACAAATCAACGAACTAAGGCTGTGCTTGGTTAAAGTTCTATCCAGAGAATCACCTTTTGAAGAATAGATTTTGAAACAGACATGGTTATATATTAATTTTCATAATACGTACCCAAATGATCAGAATTAATTCTCTGAAACCACATCAAACACAGCTTTAATGGACAGTCGCCACTCACAACCGCCATTGCAATTTGCAACAATCAGGCCAACAGGAAAAAGCAGGAATATTTCTTAATTGCTGTAGCAAAAGAGAAAAGGGAAAGCTGCTAGCCTACCTTCATTTAGTATAAATAAAGAAAAGACTTACTTATCTTTAGGTTGCAGAGCTTCTTCCATCCTCTTTGCCATGACTTGCAAAGAGGAGTGAATATAAGAAAGCAGAGACTCCAGAGCCCAACCTTCGATCGGATCAGTGACAAACGACCACTCGATCTCACACCCATGCTCACCCTCATCCTCGACGTCGTCTTTCAGTGGAAATACCTTGATCGTGGCCACATATGAGTTGAATCCAATGTTGTTCTCGGTGACCTCGTAGCTAAACCACCTCTCCTTCGAGTCGATGGCTACCAGTTTCTCCTTAGCCCAACTGACCGTTTCCTCGCCAGTGGCAGTACCAGACGAGATCGAGTTGCCGGCGGTATACCGGATGCAACCAGGTTGCCCGGATACGCCTTCCACACGTTCACAGATGTCGCAGGCCGGAAGCCATTTATGTATGCTGAAGAAGTCCTCCAGAAGAGGCCAAACTTGGTCTGCAGTCGGGCCGGTTAGATTTGCAGAGGCCTTGCCTTCCCACTTCAACTGTGCTTGAGCTTGATCTGCCATTGGATATACTGAGAGAGAATCTGATGAGTGTTGCTTGTAACTCGTACATATATAGAAGGACAGATGCCAGAGGCCCAGAGCTAGACAGCCAAAGGTTCTTTTCTTATTTATTATGTATTTTTTGTGTAATGACTTATATGTCCTTTTATTTTTGTTTTATTAGGTTAAATTTCTTAAAACACCCATATCATTTATTTAATTGATCAAGTATATCTCTACTATTTAATTATTGTCTAATACTATTCCTATTATTCCTATCATCTCTACCCGCCATCGCTGAAGGTTAACAGGGTGGGTTTGTGTTGACATTCAATTCACTATTGTGAAGAGAGCTCAAGTTGTTGGTTCGGTTTGCTAAGGTTTAGGGTTTTTAGACTTTGAAGATTCCCAAAACAGGCAAGAATAGAATTGTTCTATAAAGATTTAATGATCTAAGATGCCAGAAGAAGCCAAAACCCTAGTTTTCGAATCCATCTAAAAACTAGGGTTTCGAATCCATCCAGAGCTTCAACTCCACACGCCGGTCGATTTACAGGGTTTCGGAACCGCCTACGATCTCAAATCATTAAATCCCGTTGTCTTCACAACTCTCTTCCATCTTCCTCTCCCCTACCCTATTTACCCATCTATGCCTAATATCAAGAACATCTGCAACAGATGTTGGACCAAGCTTACTTTCTTCCATCCACCATTGTTCCCGAACTTACTCTCATAATTGGACGGAGTGCCCAATCGTTCACCCAGGTGAGAACGCTCGTTGGAGAGACCGAAGGAACTGGAGAGTTGTGCTCTTATGGGAGTTATGAAAATGAAATGAAGAGGGAGAGAGAAGAAGAATAAGAGAAGTCCAACAATAAAGCTTGAGTTCTACATTTCTGGGGAGTCTCTTCACAATACTCCCATCCTTTTCATTAGATATTGGAGTGGAAAAAATTTTTCTTTGTAGTGATGTCTAGTTGAGGTCGGCCATTACATTGTTTCCCTAAACACTCAAGGTTCAAAATTTCTTAATGTATTGGCCCATATCAACTGATACGTATATAGGCTAGCACAGGAAATACTACAAAATCATTTGCATCAGGTTTTTTTGATGTGTCGAGCCTATATCGTGGTTCCATTAGGGGTGTATCGGACTTGTATCAGGGCATATCGGGGTGTATCGACCGATATAGTACGATTTCCTATAGGCAAAAGACGAATTAAAATTCTTTGAGAAAAAAGGCTTCTAACTCACTCTAATAACTTTCTTTCTCTCTCAAACTCATCAAATCATCCCTACACATTCTTGGGTTGTAATTTTAAATAATTTTTTTATAACTTATTGTAATTTTAAAATATTTTTTCTAATTTTTAATTCATAGATCTATTGAAATTTATTATAAATTATTTATTTTTGTAATATTTGTTTTTTTATAATTTTTTTTGTGATCTAACAATAATATTTACCATGTTTTAAATCTATGGATGATTTACCACATCCATAAAATTATTCTTTTGTTACATTTTATTTTTAATTTTTGTAATAAAAAATAAAATAATTATTTGAATAAGAAATAAATAATTTTTAAAAAAATTATAGAAAATGTTTCATTAAATTTTGTAAGTTGATTATGACATATTTTTTCATAAAAATCACTAAAACATATGATTTGTATGTATATATAGCTCATTTAGGCCCTATATTTAATGTAATTGATGTATATTTATGATTTATTGGAGTATCTAAGTGTTTTCATGCATTTCTATGCATATCTTAATTTTTCATCCATATCCATGTGTATCTAAGGCGTATCCCGATACATCTCTTAAATTTGTCTTTCTGATACACTTAGCGTTTTCGATACTTTAAACCTCTGTTATTTTTTTAAGTCTTTAGTTTCTTATTATATGTTTGTTCTCTGTCTTTTAGGCCTTGTCAGTTCTTCTCTATCTTTGAGTGATGTCGGTCTTAGAGATTACCAACTTCGAGCCCGCTCCCTATCCCTTTCGAGCTGATACTAGTGACTGGCTCAACCATATAAGAGCACTTTAAGGCAAAACCATCTCTCCCAAACGAAAAAGGGCATTTTTGAACATAAAAGGGTAAATTAGGTACTTTCGAAAGTTATAACATTCATGTGATGGCACATAACAGTTTATGACGTAACATTTAACGGTAAGGGAAGTATTAGTCAATCACCAGAAATACTAAGAGTAAAATTAGACAATAATCAAACAGTAGGGGTATACTTAGTCAATTAACTAAACCATAAGGGTAGTTCAAGAAATTTACCCTTTTTATTTTGGGTTTTTTTTATGTTGATTTAACTTTTGATATTTTCTTTATGCATATTTGAGGGTTAAACTCATGAAAGGAATTTCATTCATACTTCTTGAAGGTTTACAAATAAGACAAAATAAGAACTTTAGATGATAAAATTGTGTTTAGTAGAATTATAAATTTGATGACATTTTGGTAAAATAAATATTGTGTTTTAATTCGGTCTCTTTCTTAACAAAGCCCTTATAAATATTTGCCCTATGAGGTATAAATAATTTGCCCTATTTTTTATTTGTTGAAAGTGAAACTTGTGCATCTGATTCAAAATTTCAAATACAGAACACATATGATTATATATATATATATATAATCAGGTACTTGAACTTTATTCATAAATAATCGAATTCAAATTGAATCAAGTTTGAGGTTTGTAATACTCGGTTTAAGTAGTTCATGAGCCTAATTTAATATATAATAACATAATAATTTTTAATATATTTTTATTTATAATATAACTAAATAAATTTATAATAATTTTTATAATTTTTAATATTAATTAATTTATAATCAAGTCAAGTTGATTTCATACTTAGGTTGTGTTTGGAAGTGATGTAAATCAAGAACAATGTAAAAGATTTATGTCAGTTTTGTTTTTATCGGTGTTTGGATAAATGAAAATCGATGTAAAACTCCACTCTGATTTAGATTTATTAGCATTTGAATGGTGTAAAGATTTATGTCACGAATCGATGTAAAACCTCATTAAATATAAAGTTTTACATAAACTTTATCGATGCAACTACAGCGATAAAAATTGATGTAAAACATTAAACTTTTCACATCGCACTTTTCAGAATTACATCACACTTTTACACCGATAACGTTTCACACCTGACGAAGGAAGATTTGGCCCGATCTCGCAAATCACGCCACGTGGCAAAAAACAAGTAACTCGGCACTTACCGAGGGAACAAACACCAAAGGGAAGAGACCAGCGGCTCAAACTCCCTGCAAGGTGCCCGAACTCCCTACTTAGTGCTCGAACTCCCTACGAGGAGCCCGAACTCTCCCTTTGGCTTGAGTCGCACAAAGCAGAGACTCGAACTGGCCCATCCTATGACAGTTCGGGGCCCCCCTTATCCGAACTCAAGACTTCGACTCATGCACCGCTCCGGGCACTTCGCTTCCGGAGCATTGAACTGGACGAACCACACCGTACCTGACACCGAAGGAGTCCGTATCCAGGGGCGGCGCAC